AGAAAGAAAGAAAGAAAGAAAGAAAGAAAGAAAGAAAGAAAGAAAGAAAGAAAGAAAGAAACACACAGAGCGATAGAGAAATATGTCAGTTTTGCATCAGAATGGAAATTCTATTTTGGGTGAAGAGGTTCAATCTCCAAAACCTCCAGCTGTTCAAAGCCCAACAAGATTTGAAAAGGGAATCCCACCTATTATACAAGCCCAGGCTGTTTAAACGGGCAGATATGCATCAGGTACAGCTAAGCAAGCTACATTTTACTGCTTCGGATTCCCGGCGATGCGGTTTGTGATTCAGCCGGGCACCAGGAAATGCTCGGCAATCACCACAATGACACCAGGAAGTGGAAAAACAAACAGTGCGTTTATCCGAAGTCCAAAGAGAGTAAAAATTGAAGGCAAGGGCTGCTTTAAGGAAAGTCAGAATCAATAGAAATCAGCCCCAGGCAAAATCAGCAAGCTTGCAGCTCCTAGAGAATAAACCATCAAGTTGGCAATGCTGGAAAAAAAACACCACTTTTTTTAAAAAAAGGAAAAGAATGAGGAGAGAAAAGAAGACAGATAATACCTGTTTAGCATATGTAAAAAAAGCTATCTGAATATTCGCCTCTATCACTCCGTGGAGGGAATAAGATACAGATTCAAGCCGAAAGTTCTCTTCCCAACCCTGCTCCGATTGGGGTTCGGAAGAGTCTCCCTTGGAAGATCTGGCCACGAATAGAGGCGGTCCCGACTCGGGGCTTTTAGGATCAAGTTGGACTAAGGCTGGAGCCGGCAGACAAGTCCCGGGCATCCGTTGCCACGTGGAGCAGCCGCGCGTATTTGCGCAAGGCTGGATAGAAATCTCCAAACTCGACTTCAGCAACAGAGTGGTCAACGCCTGGGATGCGCTACCTGACTCTGTGGTTTCTTTCTTCCCCAACCCCCCCCCCAAACTTTAACCTCAAACTGTCTACCGTTGACCTCACCCCATTCCTAAGAGGTTCGTAAAGGGGGCGTGCATAAGCCCACCAGCGTGCCTACCGTCCCTGTCCTACTGTCCCCGTTTATTTCTACCCATCTACTGCGTTCATAATCATGTTTATACTTATATCTGTTATCTTGTACATGCTTGACAAAATAAATTTAAAAGACCGGCTAAGCAAAAACCTGGACATGGGACCCTCACCCACCCACCGACCCACAAAAAACCCTTCCCTGTTCTTCTTAAGCTGACAACCCGCCTGTTTTTTTAAACTGGGGGTGGGTGGGTTTAATGCCCTCCCGATGGGACGCAAGCTCCAATTTGGAGAGGTGGAGGAAAAAGGATAGAGAGGGAAGGAAGCGCGCGATTCCCCTCTCCAAAGGCTCCATCGCGCGCTCCTGCGCGGTTTCCGCCCCCCCCCCCACAAGCGCTTAGTTATGGGGATGGGATATTGGAGGGGCGCGCTCACCGGCCCAGGGCTTTCTTCCCGCCGCGGGATCGAGCGCCCCACATCCGTGGTGCGCTTACCTGTTTGGCGAGGGGGGCACCTTGGCTGTTTCGTGCGGTGCGATCTCGGGGCACAGCTCCGGAGCAGCGGCCGGCTCCCGGCACCGGCTGCCTCTCTTATAGGGCTGGCTTTACCGCCTACCCAGAGCACTCGGGGTCAGAGGAGGAGGAGGGAGAGGAAGAAAAGGAGGAGGAAGAGGAAGAAGAAGAGGAGGAGGAGGAGCGTAGAGGAGGCAAGTTGGGTTAGAGCTGCCTGAACGAGAGACAAAGGGGAAATCCCTGCCCGGAATCCCCTCGGGCACCCTTAGGTCCAGTGTCTAAAAGGAAAGGAAAGGCGCTCTAGACATGCCCAGAGGAAGTCGTTACGACGCCCTTGAGGCCCGCGTGGAAAAACGAAAAGCCACAGAGTCCTGGAGAAGTGGCCGACACCTTCCAACCGAGCCGGGCTGCGTTTCCCCTGGGCTCCCTCCTTTACAGGGTGCGGGGGTTAAGTAACAGGAACAGAGTTGGAAGGGACCTTGGAGGTCATCTAGTCCAACCCCCTGCTCACGCAAGAGACCTGTTCTAGGGATTCGGACCACCCGACCTTCCCGATCGACAAGCTCAGTGTCTTAGCCACTGAGCCACCGAGTCAGGCTAAGAATTCAACTTCCTAGTCCTCAAGACTAGGGCCAATGGGGAAACTGAAGCCACCCAAGACGATCAGAGACTTTTGTTCTGGAGGAAAGCAGCCCCTCCGTCCAATTATCTGCCAGGAGCCCCTTCCCAGGTCTTGCTACACCTGTACTGGTCAGGGAAAGGTGCATCGGCTGTGTGGACTGGGGGCAATGGGAGATGCCATTCCACCCACCATAGCTGTGGCCAAGGTCACCTGGGCTGCTGATAAGGCCAAGATCTCAGGTGGTGTGTGTGTGTGTGTGTGTGTGTGTGTGTGCGCGCGTGCCTACCAAGGGGCCATTGCCCCTAAGGGGGCACCTGGAATGGATGTTTCATCCAAACTGAACAGGTACAGTTGCAACCAGCAACTATCAAGCCACTATATAGAAAATAAAAACAAACTCTATTATTCCCGTCTGACATTGATGGTGTTACCTAGTTGGGTAATGAAATGTCTGCAAAAAAACCCACAAAGCTCAGAGAGTGCCTAAGACTTAACAGTCCTCCTCCTCCTCCTCTTCTTCCTGTTCCTCTTCTTCCTCCATTCCACAAACCCCACTCCCTTCTAGCACTGATGATGTTACCTAGTTGGGTTGTGAAATGTCTGCAAAAAAATAACTAAGCTCACCAAGGATCCCATAATCCTCCTCCGCTTTCCTCTCCTCCTCCCTCCATTTCACAAGCCCTTCCTCCCTTCTAGCCCTAATGATGTTACCAACTGGGTCATGAGACTTCTGCAAGAAAGCCACAGAGTTCAGAGAGCATCAAAGACCCCCCCTCCCGTCCTCCTCCTCCTCCTCCTCCTCCTCCTCCTCCTCTTCCTCCAACCCTTCTCCCTTCTAGCACTGATGATGTAACCTAGTTGGGTCATGAAACGTCTGCAAGAAAACAATCAAACCTGAGCGCACCAAGGATCCTACAGTCCTCCTCCCCACTCCCTCCTTCTGCTTCACCTTCTCCACTCTGCAGTCATCATCCCTTTTACGACTGATGATATTCCCTAGTTGGGTCATGGAACATCTCTGAAATAACCAAGGGAGCACCAAGGACCCCACAGCTCCACTCTCAGCTACAAATAATCTTTTCCATCAGTAACTATCCCGTAGCCTCAAAGCTCGGTCATCTGCCTCAACTCAACTGGCACTTAAAATACCCTTTAAGGCATCTTTCTTTCACAAAGAATAGAATAACAGAGTTGGAAGGGACCTTGGAGGTCTTCTAGTCCATCCCCCTGCTTAGGCAGGAAACCCTACACCATTTCAGATAAATGATTATCCAACATCATCTTAAAAACATCCAGTGTTGGAGCATTCACAACTTCTGGAGGCAAGTTGTTCCACTGATTAACTGTTCTAACTGTCTGGAAATTTCTCCTTAGTTCTACGTTGCTTCTCTCCTTGATTAGTTTCCACCCTTTGCTTCTTGTCCTGCCCTCAGGTGCTTTGGAGAATAGCTTGACTCCCTCCGTGAAGATATTGCCCCTTTCACATTCGCCTCCAATCACCCCATCCTTCCTCGCCCAACCTCACCCACAAACCAACTCACTTTTATCCACAATGTCCGAAATCCGAAAAGAAAAGAAAAAAAAGTTCCTTGCCAACGAAGGGGCAGTGGTTCAGACAACCAGGGTTTCTAATCAGCTTCCCTCATGGTGGGTTGGGTGGTGTTAGGACGGGTGTCTGGTCAACCTCTGGCTCAGAGGAAGAGCAGAGAGCAGGGAAAAAGGGCTGAGGACCAATGACATCATAAATGCATAGGTTCCGAAGGAATTGTTAAATAAAACAATGGGCCGACACAGTAGGTGTGCTGCCTTCACTCCATTCATCAGTTGTCTTTAAGCCCATCTGAATAACCAATCTCCCTAAAAGATTATCTGAGTCTTGTTTGATCCTCTTTGATCAAACCTCGACTGGAGGGTTTTAAGGACAACCACTTGTCTGCAGTGGTAGATAGAGTCTCCTGCTTGAGCAGAGGAGACTCAATGTTTTGGGCAAATCCCCCAAATGGATTTATTTTGTAACCCATTAACCTTCCTTGAATTCAGCACAGTAAAGCAATAAACCAAGGACGCGGTGGCTCAGTGGCTAAGACACTGAGCTTGGCAATCAGACGTTCGGCAGGTTCGAATCCCTAGCGCCCACGTAACGGAGTGAGCTCCCGTGACTTGTCCCAGCTTCTGCCAACCTAGCCGTTCGAAAGCACGTAAAAATGCAAATAGAAAAATAGGCACCACCTTTGGTGGGAAGGGAACAGCGTTCCGTGCCCCTTCGGGCATTGAGTCACGCCGGCCACATGACCATGGAGACGTCTTCGGACAGCGCTGGGTCTCCGGCTTTGAAACGGAGATGAGCACCGCCCCCTAGAGCCGGGAACAACTAGCACAGATGTGCGAGGGGAAGCTTTACCTTTAAGCAGAGATCTTCTGAAGGGTAAGGAGGAGAAATGTGGTTCCTCCTTCACCCTGTACCCCTTGGGGGCAGGTACAACAAATATTGGATGCCTGGATGGAAGAGGTCATCTCCAAGGATAGACCAAGAGGATGGCGGTGCCCGAAGTAAAGTAAACGCTGTTTTCTGATATTGGCAAAAGTTCACTGAGGTTACATCTTTGAAGAGCGGTGACGTTTTTGCAACAGGCCCAAATATAGGCATGACCTTTTGAGGAGAAAGGGTGTCAGAACTGGGTGATGGGTATTCAAAGAGCTGAGGTTAATAACAGGATAACAGAGTTGGAAGGGACCTTGGAGGTCTTCTAGTCCAGTGTTTCCCAACCTTGGTGACTTTAAGTCCTGTGGACTTCAACTCCCAGACTCCCCCAGCCAGCATAGCTGGCTGGGGGATTCT